CTCCAGCACCCGACGCCCACCCCTGCCCCTTGCCGCTGGAGGAGGATGGCGGGCCCAGGCCTGAGGGGGATGGCGCGCCCAGCCCCTCAGATGCCACGGATGGGGGCTGGCTGCCGATAGAAGCGAGGAGGCTGAGTCAGCCAGGGCGCCGCAGGAGCCAGCCCTCCCCACCAGACGAGGACTTCACCTTCCTGGAGGTGAGCCTGGGGGATTTCCCAGCAGCCTCTGCTCCCTCCTGGGCCTGGTGCTGGTTGTGGTTGGGTACATGGTCCTCCTCACCCCCATGCCCACACTGGGAGCCAGGGCTGTATGGGGGCGGTGACTGCAACCCCCTCCTTTTCCCTGCCTGATGGGGACGCCAGGTGGTGGCTGGCATGGGGGTAGGGCGGGCTGCCATCAGAGGGGAGCACTCCCTATGCCCTCCCTGGCGACCCTCCAGCAGGGGGACGGCATGTCTGGGTTGAGACTCCCCCACCCCGGTGCTGCGGGGGATACTGACTGGAGATGGCGGGGGCTGGATGGCTAACCCTTTGTTGGCCTTGGTGAGTCACATAGGTTCTGGATCGTGTCCCAGGGCCCCCGAGGGAGCACGCCCATCCCTGTCCACTTCCCTGTGGGTTGCCTCAGGGATTGGGTCTCTCTGAGGGGTTGGCTGGGATTGTCCCTGCTGGAGCCCTGAGACAGATGGGGCAGCCTGGCGCCCTCGTGGGCTTTCCCCTCATGGCTCGGCACAGGTCCGTGGCGATCCTGGATCGGTGGCTGTAGCAGCTGCGGGGTGGGTGGGGCAGCATCATGCCCCCATGGGCCCTCCCCTTGCGTCTGGGCACTGATCGGTATCTCCGCCTCCCTCCCTCCCCGGGGCATGTACAGGACATGGAAGTTCTTGACAGCGCCATCTACCGGAGCAGAGCCAACCTGGGCCGTAAGCGAGGTCACCGGGCACCGGCCACGCGCCCCGCAGGCAGTCTGGGGCTGTCTGAGGTGGAGGCGGCCGACTGGATGTTCCGGGACTCCACAGGTGGGACCTGGGGTGGGGCAGGCTGCGGCTCACTGGCCGGCCTGGTGCTGACCTGGCTTCCTGTTCGGTGACGTGCTGTGATGTCAGCGTGGCGTTTGTCTCGCATGCTCTTGGTGTGCCGTTAGCGTGTGTTCCCATGTCAGAGGGGTTGTTGGCGTGGCCGTGGTGGGTGTTGCCATGTAGCGTGACGGTGGCATGTGTTTCTGGGTGGCACGGTGCTGTTGTGCCAATGGCACATGGTTGTGGGTGGTGAGTGTATGTGGCCGTGTTATGGGGCGTGGTGTTGGTGCCCCACTCCCAGGTGGAGCGTGTGTTGGCGTGTGAGCCCACATGGCACAGGCACCAATGCACGTGTGCCGCTGTGTCGGTGGCATTGGCATGTGTCCCCATGTGGTGGCGGTGCTGACGTGTGGGCCCTGCGTGGCCTGACACTGACCCTGTGTCTCCCCTCAGAGCCCAGAGCGGTGCACTGGGCGTCCTCAGACGAGGAGGTGGCGGAGGAGCCCCAGAGCAGGCGGGCACGGCCCTCACCGGCAGCCAAGGGGGTGAAGGTGCCACTCTTCCCGGGCCTGAACCCCTCAGCTCTCAAGGTAGAGAGGGATGCAGCCAGTGCCCATGGGATGTTGGGAGGGCTGAGTAGGGGAGGGAGTGGGAAGGGGGTGTCGGAAATGGTCATGGGGGAAGGGTCTTGGGAGAAGTGGGCACTGAGGGGGTGAGATGGGTGCTGGAAGTCTTGTGTGGTGAGGTGCAGGATGTGGAGTGTGGGGCGGCCTGGGGGGTGCAGGGTGTGGTGAAGATGGTGCTGGGGGAGCTCCCAGATCAGGTGGAAGGGCTCAGAGACTCGGTGAGGGATGACCCCCCCCCCCCCCCTCCCATTGGGGAATAGAGTTGCCAACCCTCCCGGTTTTGCCAGGAGTCTCCCGGAGGCTACTGAAGCCAGGCCCGGAGATTTTAGGCCACTAAAAGTCTGGCGGCACAACGGGGCTAAGGCAGGCTCCGTGCCTGCCCTGGCTCTGCACTGCTCCCAGAAGCAGCTAGCATGTCCCTGCGGCTCCTGGGGAGGAGGCAGGGGACCCTGCACGCTGCCCCTGCCCTGAGCGCCAACTCCACAGCTCCGATTGGCCAGAAACTGCGGCCAATGAGAGCTGCGGGGGCGGCACCTGCAGGCAGGGGCAATACACGGAGCCCCCTGGCCCCACTCCCAGGGGCTGCAGGGACATGCTGGCGAATTCCGTGAGTGGTGCGGGGGCAGGGCAGGCAGGGAGCCAGCCGGAGCCCGCACCTCTCACTGCCTCCCACACCCCAACCCCCTGTCCCTGTCCTGAGCCCCCTCCAGCACTCAAACTCCCTCCCAGAGCTTGCAGCCCGCATCCCCTCCTGCACTCCAACCCCTGCCCCAGGCTTCCTCCCACACTCTGAACCTCTCGGCCCCAGCCCAGTGAAAGTGAGTGAGTGTGGGAGAGAACCAGCGACGGAGGGAGGGGGGATGGAGTGAGTGGGGCAGGGTCTCGGAGAAGGGGTGGTCTGGGGGCGGGGCCTCAGAGAAGGGGTAGGGCAGAGAGTGGGGCAAGAGTGTTTGGGTTTGTGTGATTAGACAGTTGGCAACCCTATTGGGGAGGGTCAGAGGGAGACATGCCGTTTGTGGCGGGGGGGGGGGGGGGGGACCCACACAGGGAACCGGGGCCCCCGGGTGTCTGCCGGGGCCCCCCCCCCCCCCTCCCCAGGCCAAGCTGCGGGGCCGGAACCGCTCTGCAGAAGAGGGGGCCCAGCTGGGGGAGGCCAAGCCAGCCACGCCCAAGGAGTCCCACGTCCAGCGCTCCAAGTCCTGCAAGATCCCCGGCTTGGGGGGGAAACCCCTGGCGCTGCCCCCCAAGCCAGAGAAATCCTCAGGGTGAGTGTGTGGGGGTGTCTCTGGTGGGAGGTTGGGTTTGTGGGTTTCAGCGAGTGTCTATGCACCTAGGGGTGTTAATGCAGGTGTTAGGGGGTGCATAGACCCTGTGGGGTTGGGGGGGTGTAGACCCTGTAGGGGCTGGGGGGGGGGTGGAGGGGCTGGGGGGGGGGGGGGGGGGTGTAGACCCTGGAGGGTGAGGAAGTTCCATCCTTTCCCTGTCAGCTCTGCCATTGCCGCTGCCTCCTCGCCCCCCAGGTCAGATGCCACCTCGCCCCACTGGCTGCAAGTGCTGAAGCTGAAAAAGAAGAAATCCTGATGGCCCCATTCAGGTGAGGGCCCCGTGGGCCTGCGCCGGAGGCTGCGTCGCGCTCCCACCGCGGCAGTTTGCACACAACATGCTGCATGCCCCCCAGAACTCCCTGCAAAGCCACGTCCGGCTGGTGCGACGCACGATCCCTCTTGCAAATGGGTGTGACGCTGCCAAGGGACACGTGGCCCAAGCCCACGGGGTCAGGGGTGTGACGCGGGTACAAGTGGGCTGTCGGCCAGTGGAGATCGGACAGCCAGAGCCAAGCCCGATCAGCTGGGCTCACCCTGCTCTGGTACCTCCCATCTCAGACACACGGCTGCAGGGCGCGGTTTGGGGGAGGGACTTGGCCCCTGGCCCCCTGGTGCTCCTACTGGAGATTTCCCCTTCCCTTCCCTGGGCACAGCAGGTGGGGGATGTGCTGACTCTCGAGAGGTCAGGCTGGTATCCTTCACCCCTGGCTTCCTGAATTCCAGCCATGGGCCGTGTGTGACTCGGGCCATAGTGCTGCAAAACAGCGTGGCCTCCGGCTGTTGGGGTTCTTTGCACCACCTGGTGGACGCTGTGATGCTTGGCACCTAGTCCTTCCTCTGGGGCGTGGCTCTGAGCCCGTCTGGAGAGGGCCGGAACTAAGCCGGTTGAAAGGGGAAATTGACACTGAGCAGCGGGATAACGCTTCCTGACAGGGGCAGATCCAGCCGGGAATTGTCCCCCCTGGCAGAAGGGTCGGGAGCCCCATCGCTCCCCAACAGGGGGATGGATCTGGCCAGGGAATTCCTCCCCTCCCGCCCCGCCAGCCACGAATGGGTCCACCCAGGAAAACATCCTCCTGGTGAGGAAGGGGCTGGGACCCCTGTCTAGCACTACACAGTTGCCTTTATTGCCGCTCAAGCTTCGATCCTCCTGCTGCGGAAACAGGCGTGGACCCCTTGAGCTGGGAAGAATCTCCCTTGACAGTGTGGGGCACGTGACACACAGCTGTGGCTGGCCAGGCTCCCTCCAGAGGGGCAGTGGTGCTGCAGGGAGCCAGTCTCCCTCTCCAATGCCTGCCATCTCTCCTTTATCTTCCAGGCATTTCTCTCCTGCTGCTGGGGCTGGGACAGCTGACTCTCCAAAGAGGCTCATCGGGATGGAAGGGACGGCGCAGTGATTGGAGACCCCCCTGCCTGCCCACCCCCCGTGCACAGCTGGGACCCCCAGCAGGGCAGTTTGGGGGTGGGAGTGGGGGCAGGGAAGGCACATCTATGCACTTTGTATCACGCTCGCTCCCCGAGCTGCCAGGTCCCTCTGTCCCCGCCCCCGCGAGCTGGCTGCTTCCTTCGCTCTGTCCTTTATACCATGTACCTGGTCTAAAGCCTCTATTATTTTGTAATCGGTGACAGGGCCTGGCCCTGACCCTTCCCCCTTCCCCGCTGAGCCGGGGGCGGGGGGAGCCCTGGGGCCAGGGCGTTCGCTCGCTCTCTGCTGCTATCCTACACTTTCCCGGCCAAGAGCAATGGATTATTTTTTCTATGCCACTTGATGAGACAATAAACGATTTCGGGTAATGGTGGGGGCGGCTGCGGTCTTGGGCGCGTCCCTGTTACGTCGTCTCCCTTTACCCTCCCGGACCTCGATCACTAGGCCCCGCTCGGCCAGCAGGGGGCAGAGGATAGCACCCTGCAGAGTGCCTTCTGGAGGGCTGGCATGAGGGAAGCCCAGACCTAACACCTTGTGCTCCCTGGATTGCTTGTGCCCCCAAGCCTCACGGAATTCATCTCTGCTGGGGGCTGTTGGGTTGGGGGGTGCAGGCCATTCTCGTGGGCTCTGGCTCTGGGCCAAGCTGCTGCTGGAGTCCGGCCCTGGATGGGAGCTGGGCTGCAGAATCCAAGCCCCATCAGGCGGCTGCAGAGCTCGGGGGCTCTGGCTCTGTAGTGCTGAGTGGCTGAGGCAGTCTGGCATTGACCACTTGCCTGCCCCAGGCCCTGTTCCCCTGCCTCAGGGCCTAGAAGTTTTCCTCTCCTCTGCTGCCTTCTCCCCCAGCCCCCACTCCTCTTCCCCCTTCTTCCTGGGGAAAGGGTCTGAATCCACCACAGCAAAAGAGATTCAGCTGCAGTAAATCAGCTTCACTGATCCCAGTGGAGCTGTGGCCCATTGCCATCTGTTGGGATCTGGCCCATTGACCTCAGCCCTGGAAATACAGTTTCTCTCTAACGCTAGTTGAGCTGACTGTGGTCAGGAATATCCACCCGGTTCATAGAATCCACCTCTACCCTGATATATCGCTGTCCTCGGGAGCCAAAAAAATCTTACTGCCTTATAGGTGAAACTGCGTTATAGCGAACTTGCTTTGATCTGCCAGAGCGTGCAGCCCCCCCCGGAGCACTGCTTTACTGTGTTATATCTGAATTTGTGTTCTATTGGGTTGCGTTATATCGGGGTAGAGGTGTATCAGGGTTGGAAGGGACCTCAGGAGGTCATCTAGTCCAAAGCAGGACCAATCCCCAGACAGATTTTTACCCCAGTTCCCTAAATGGCCCTCAAGGATTGAGCTCACAACCCTGACCACAGTCAGCATTAGCAGGCCAATGGTCCAACCACTGAGCTATCCGTCCCCCTGCCCCCAGGGACAGGGGTGTGGCCTATGCTGGGGAAAGCTGAGCCATGTAATTCACCCCTGGAGCAGCTTTTAGGTGGGGTTGCGGGTTGAAGCCTGAGTGCAGGTGTGGCTCAGGTGCTCTTACCGGCATGTCTGTAACACCTCTCCCCTGAGCATTGCCCCAGGCATGACAGCCACGGTGGGTTCACAGCCCGCACACCCGGACCTCCCCTGGCATGGGATATGGGCCGGTTCACAGAGCCCGACGGAACCTCTAACAACTTCTTAAACATAGTTGTCTCGCTTGGAACTGGCGCTAGCACGCGTCACGTCACAGCGGGTGCGCTCGGTTTGGTGCAGTTCAGTGCTGTCGTTTGAGGAACTGGGGTGCGTTCCTACCCTGGTCTTTACGGGCACAGCATAGCGATAGGCCCTGATCTCTAGGAGCCCTGGCCCAAATGATGAGCAGGGTGGTCTGTCCTCTCCTTAGACTGATCTCATCAGCTGTGGAGAATGACGGGTCTGCATTTTGCCCCCGGAGCTAAAGCCATGCATGGAAGAAGACCGGGGAGGCGTCATGGTGAAGACGGACGGAGACTCAGCAGTGCTGGCTTCAGTTGAGCCGCACCCTTTCTCTGCCCACGTTATTTAGGCCCAGATCCCTAAAGGTACTTAGGTGCCTAAATTCCATTGATTTCAGGAATCCTTCGGGAGGCTGGGTCTCTGTTCCCCATCAATGACACTGAGGTGACTCAGAGATTCCAAGGAGAGCAGGGACCGTTGTGATCATCTGATCTGTGTAACAGGCCAGAGACTTGTCCTCAAATCATTCCTTTTTTAACTAGAGTATAGAGTTAGAACTGGAGCGTCACCATGTGTTCTGCCCGTCCCTGCCTTTGTCTTGGTTTTGTAGGCTGTAGGGCCGTCCAGGAAATGGTCTTCACAGCCTGGGAGAATTTTCAACATTTCAATTTGTTTTTCCATCCCAAATGAGCCAAAATGTCTGTCAACTTTTCGCAAAGGAAAAATCTGGGGGGGAAAAAAATCCGTCTGGGTCAATTGAAATATTTTTTTCTTCCTTTTGAAATGTTTTCAATGTTGATTCTTTTTCTTTAACTTTTTTTTTTTTTAAGCACAAATGACGTTAAATTTTGAAACGTTAAGGATGGTTCCAAAGGTGAACCTGAAACTTTCAATTTTGAAAACGACCGGGCGATGTTTAGACAACTTCAAAACTTTTTTCTCAACAGTTTTTTGAGTTGGGAAATGTGTCAACACCAATTGTGTTCTGCGAACAGTTTCGGTGTCAATGAATTGGCAGTTTTTGGCCAAAAATAATTTTTAAAAAAATCCTTGAAAAATTCCCCACTATCTCTACTTGACTCTGAACTCCTGAGGACAGGGAGTGCCTAGACAGTGGGGCCCTGATTTCAGCCTCTGCAATCCCTGCTTTATTAGAATTTAATACTCATCACAGAATCATAGAAATGTACAGTGGAAAGGACCTTGAAGAGGTCAACTAGTTCACAGCAGGAGCTCTGGCTGTTGTGGGTGTTAAAAGAAGGAAGTTGCAGTCCGCCTCAGAAAGGAAATCTGTGCTGTATCTTTGACTAGCAGAAACAGGCACCATAAATTACTTCTCTGGAGATGACCTGTTGGCTTTGCTGCAGCTTCAAACGGGACGCAAGGGGCTTAATCTGTTTAGCTTAACAGAGAGGTTAAGGGGTGACTTGATCACAGTGTGTAAGTACTTTTACGACATCTGTGTGCCATACTTTGCATCAACTGCCAGGATAAAGTTCCCAATAACGAGGTTCTGGAATGCAGCCACTCTGCAGGGTTGAAGCCATGCTCATTGTGTCAGTTGCGCTGGGCTGGTCACACGTTGAGGATGGATGACACTGGAATGCCAAAGCAGTTGCTGTATGGCGAACTGAGGAGATAACCGCACACGAGGGGGCCAGAAGAAACCCTTCGGGGACATGCAGAAGCATAACTTGACGCAGTGCGAGATTGATGTTGACCACTGAAATAGTCACAACGGCTGGGTGGTGCTGGCAAGCAGCAGTCCATGACAGGGGTACTCAGTTCAAGGTAAACCCCCGAACGGATCTTGGGGTACAGAGGCTGAGGCGTAAGCAGCAGATTCAACAGACACAGCCTGTAATCCCCATGCAGCAAGGACTACCACCCTCGTGTTGGCCTTTGTAGCCACCATCGTACTCACACCATCATCTTCGGTCATGAAGGGCAATGGGGGGAACAAATATTTAGTAGCGGGTTCTTCAGTCTAGCAGAAAAAGGTAGAATGTGACCCAATCGCTGAAAGTTGAAGCTAGACAAATTCAGGCTAGAAATGAGGCGTAACTTTTTAACATTGAGGGCAATTAACCACGGGAACAACTTAACAAGGGGCATGGTGGATTCTTCATCCCTGGCCATTTTAAAATCACAATGGGATGTTTTCCTACACGCTCTGCTCTAGGAATGATTTGGGGGCCGTTCTCTGACCTGAGTTACACAGGAGGTCGGCCTAGCTGATCACAGCTTGGAATCTAGGATCTGCACATGTGTATTGAGCAGGAGGAGCGGCTTTGAAGGGCGTCTCTTGGAGAGATGTCTCAATGTGGGAGATTCCAGCCGTGTCAAGCATTGGATTTTCACTGTTCTGTGTCGAACCCAATGCCATTCAGGTCTCATCAGCCTGTTCACCTGCTTATATTACTGGGAGAGCTGCTCAGAATTTTTATTTTTTCTGTTTGATGGCTGGGAGGGGTGTTGAAATTTTCCAGTTTCTTTCTTTTTTTTTACTGTAAGTTTCTAGCCCTCGTGGCTGCAGAGAGAAGTTGGAGCAGGTGAGCCTGCAGGGGAACAAAGCAAATGACAAGGGCTCAAAGAAGAAGGTGGGGTTTTCTGTGGAGGCCAGATGGGAATGGCGGAGGCTGGTGGGACTGAATGATGCCCAGGACCGACACCTCCATGGAGAAGTGAGAACTCTGCCCTTGCAGAGGAGCAAGAGTGTGGGGTGTAAGCCTTGCGTGTGAGGGGACCCAGGGAAACTCCAGCCCTCTCGAACTCTGTTAGCCAAGCATTGCTGCAGTGTGAGGGCCTCGCTGCTCCCGTGCTGCCATTCCAGATCTGTTGAGCCAGGACAGAACCGCAGGGTTTTCTCCTGCCCCTGGAGTTTCCGGCTGTGGGTGAGGGTGTCACGGAGTCACCGGGGAGATTCTCTGGAACTATTCCGTATGAAGCCAGCCAGGACTCTGCGGGAGCATGTCTCCTCTCTCTCAGCATATTGTCGCCAGGCCAAGAAGCGTACACAGCTTCGACCTTCCTGGGTCTGACTTCGGAGCATTCAGTATCCCCTTCCACATCGTGCGCTTCCCGTAGTGACTCTGCCTGGGCGGGGCTCCTGGGGAAGCCAGAGGGTCCTGCACCCCAACTCCACAGTCATCAGTGACTCTCAGCCAGCATGTAGAACAGAAGGTTTATTAGTTGACAGGAACACAGCATAGGACAGAGCTTGGTCGCACGGAAATCAGTGACTTTCAGCCAAGTCCATCTTGGGGAGTCCCAGGCCAGACGCCCTGGCCTCCCCCTCTTCCAGTTCCCCAGTGAGACTGCCCAGCTACCAGCGATCTGACCTACGACACCGCTGCTGTTGCTCCTCCTTGTCTTTGTCTCACTTCCCGGGCAAAGGGTCACCTGGTTGCGTCCCTCTCCTGGGTCTCAGGTTACGAAGGGCACCGGCCATAGCATCCGTGCAAGCAGCTGGAGCAGCCACACCTGCCCCAGAGGGTGTCAGCCAAAGTCACACACCCCTATTCCCACCACCAAGGCATTGGTGCAGCACACAGGGAAACTGAGGCACACATGGTATTCATGCAAAACAGTAAAACTCACCTTGGTTCAATAGTAAGACTCACATAGGCTCACATACAACATAAGGGAACTTCCCCACTTTGTCACACAGG